CGGGGCAACTGCCCACTTCTCCCTTCTCTCCCTGCCGCCCCAGGGGTCAAGGCCTCTGCTCTCATGCTGCCCTTTACTGACATGTATCTCTACAGGTTCACACACACGTTCACTCGTTCACACAGGTTGGGGACAGTGCTTTGCGTCCCCAACCTGTGATCTCTGCTGGTCACCACGTGCCCGTCCCAGGCTCTGCGGGGAAAGTGGATGGAGCATCCAGGGACTCCTGGCTGCCTTCAAGGGCCGCTCTTATCCCGGAGATCTCACTTGTACAAAAATAAATCATTGCTCCTCAGAGGACGGTGCTGTGATTGGAAAGAGGGGGCAGTTCACCCACCAGGGCAGAAAACGGAGCTGGACAGGATGACGCTGAGTTGCAATATTTACATGGAGGCCCTGCCAGGGGTGGGCTGTCTGGGCGGCTGCCGGCTCCCTGGGCCTCCCAGCTTCGAACCTTCCGCAGCGCCTGGGCGCCATGGGGGAGCCTCTAGGGGTCTGTGTGGCCCCGTGGACAAGAAACTTTAAAAAAAACAGTGTCATTTTGGAGGGAAACAAACTGTTCTGACGGTTCTTCAAAACACTTTTCAAATTGAAATGCACAGACTCACCCTGCTGCCTCTCTGGGGACCAGACACCCTGTAGACAGCGGGCTTTGCAGATCCCTGGGCTCCGTTCGCGAGCGCCCCACGGTGGGCGCCTCCCTGTCCGGCTGCTTCGCTCAGTGTGAGCCTGTGTGAGTCCCTCCTGTTGCGGTGTGCAGCCCCCTTGGTCTTTGCCCATTTTTACTTACTCTTTCGTTAGAACAGACACAGCGTTTTCACGAACTTGGGTCAGGAGGATCCGTGGCCCAGGGGTGGGGGTCTGGGGGTTTTGGCAGCCTGCCGAGCGTCTGACACACCCCCTTTTGTGTATTGGCCGTCGGCAGTGCCTCGGGGGGCAGGTGTTATTATTCTTATCTCACAGAGCCAGGAGCAGGACACCCCGGGCAGAAAGGAAGCTGGCTAATACTAAGCCCTTAATGACGATGTCGAGGCCGGGAGCCGGCCGCTCAGCCCAAGCGGCGTCTTCTCCGAGTTGTTCACGGTGCAGGTGCGGGCGCTGTACACGGCTCTTTGGGTCCAAGGGAATCTCACGTGTGTGTTTAGGGAACGTGGTGTGTGTTTCTGATTTGAGTGAACTCATATCTACTAATACCTATTTTTCTTTGAGAGGCTTAGAGTTTTCAAGAATTACTTAGAGGCTATAAGATCGGGTTTTGCGAATCCATTCGGACTGACAGAGAACTTGACCTGTCCTACCTAAAGGTGCCCTGGGTGGAGAGTGCGCCACCTGCAGGTACTCACAGGCTCTGCATGCGTGGTCCCCCGCCCCCCCCCCCGGCCTTGGGGAGCTTCTGTGGAGACACCTTTCTGTTCTTCCGCACACAGTAACCGAGTGCCTTCTGGGTTCTAGGTCGTTGCCCTCGCTGTTCTGCAGAGGTGCTGCTCTAAAGGAAGAGAGGGGCACCACCTATTGGCCTGGTGGCCAGGTAGCTCGACACCTCTGAGGTTAAGGTTCCGCAGTTGCATCCGGGTTGCAGACAGTGTGAGCACACGGGAGTGGGGAAGGCACCCGCCGTATACCCGCCGTATCCAGATCTGAATTGGCCTGAAATGGCAAAGCCCCTCGTCCTCCAAAATACACTTTTAACAACACACAAGCCTTCATTTTCTGCGAAGGTCTTCATTTTAAGTCAAAGGGAAAACCAAGGACTATACAGAACCACAGCCTAAAGGAAAGCTGATTATTGGTGTCAACACAAGATTTAAGTCCAGGGTCAGGTTTTCCCTTGATTTATGAGACAGTGTTCTCCCTACGAATGGGGAACTCACTACCCACGCCTTCCGAGTGATCTATCCCTTACAGGAATCCACGTGAAAATTGTGTTTTTATAACCCGCCAGGGAAACTGTGCGTGGAACCGGAGCTCGCCATGTAGGCGGCTGCTTCAGAGTAACGGCGCGTACGGGTCAAGGCCAAGTCACGTTTCAAAAACCCGGCTCGCAGACGTCGAAAATGCCTCGGAGACAAATGGTGCTGACAAGGCGATTATTTAATTATAATGAATGAAGGAGGCAAGCATAGAGAGAATGGGCTCAATTTCAGCTGATTTAAAAGGAAAACGAGGTGCCCTCCGTAAGTCTGTCCTTCCACGAGAGCTCGACATGTGCGTGGACACCACAGACCCACCCAATGGTCCCTCCTGCATGGGCTGCTGCATTGTGCGTGATGCCAGTTTAAACGCGAACGTGTTTCAGGAGAGGCAGCTGTGAAGCCCGTGTTCCCATTGATCACCCTTTATGGCTACTTTTGGCCAAATTTGTCGGGGTGACTGAGGAGATAAAAGCTGAAGAAGAAAGGGCAAGATTCGGGGGATAAAGAATGTCGAGATAAAAGCCGAAAACATCATCAAGAAACAGAAGGAAGGTATTTTGTGGTGGTGGTTGTTTATTTGACCACGTTAAAGACCATGCTCTTTGTTTTTTGAAGTTGTGAAGGTCCGTGCAGCCATGGCACTCTCGGACACAGGCAGTTTCCCGGAGAGAGGCCGTCCAAGGGCTGCGTCAGCATCTTGGGGGCCACAGGAGAGTATCCCTGGGGGCCCACGTGGTTTGCAGCCATATTTTCTCCCAGCACCACAGATGGAATTTTTACATCCTCAAGGGCAACCACAGTGATAAATGTGACCACAGTGATGTTAAAATGGCAGCGACCATAGAAATGTGTATTTTCTAAAAAAGGTCCCCTTCTCCTCCAAATAACCCAAATTTGGATTCTTGGGCAGAACTTTTGCATAGATATTGAAACAGCATCTGGGAAATACTTTTGTGAATCTTCAGGACTATTGTTACTGTTGTTCTTGGTGGTTTTCTAGGGGGCGCATCGTCCGGGCTTTCGTTATTTTTGTCTTTTGCAGTTGTATTGGTGATAACAGTGTTTCCTTTCCCTCATTTGGTCCAGTTGAAATAATAGCGCAGTACCAGCTGGGGCTCCTTGGTGTTCGATGCAGGCAGGAAGGACAAGTGAACGGCAAGCTTCTTCCGGAGGCCCCGAAGGTTTCCCAGTCAGCCCCCAGAGGCCTCCTGGCTGCAAAGTCAGGGTGGCATCTTGCATGGACGTGGTCAGTGGGAGGCAGGTGGGGACTTGGACAGGCCCCTCTCACCAACTGGCCTTGGAGTTGAACTTCAAAGGGGCTCTGTCTCCTGCCTTCTGCTGCCCTCAGGTCCGTTCTGTGTTGGGACAGGGGCTGTAGCTTCCTTCCCTGGGTGGTGGCTCTGCCCCGTGGAGCCACCTCGGTCGATGCGATTAATGCCTTCCTGCCTGGAATTACCACCCTCCTCGGAAGTGTCGTGGGCCTTCTTTGGAGTATTTCCTGTCAATACCCCGCTGCTCTCCGTGGGGTCCGTTTTCCAGATGAGCCTTCTGTATTCAGTCTGCTGGGGTGTGGGCTGAAGCCCAACGCCCCCCGCACAACGGGGCTGTTATGAGCACACGTGTGGCTGGCGACCTCTCTCACCAGGCAGCCTCGAGCCAAAGCGCAGGGCGAGCCTGCAGAGGCTGCCTGGTCTCCTGCTGCTCAGCCCCGTCTACAGTGCCTTGTGCTTGGCATCTTTTTATCTCTCTGGGCTTATGGGCAAATGTTTCTACTCACCACTTTAATTATATATATGTTCTTTTTAAAATCGATGGCCCACACATTGAAGCTCTTGCGATTTTCTGTCAGCTGGTACACTTCTTGTATCTACCAATTTCTAGCGCCTTCTAACCCAACGTTCTACCTTTCGCCTTTCTCGCAATCACTGACGCTGATTGCTCTGGTCAGGCTTCAAGGGCGACACCTGGAGAGTCCTCTGTGGTTAAGGGCCAATCAAATCACCAGGACCCTTGGAGACGACCAATCAGTGCTTCAGAAACCACTTCGCTCACTGGATTCACCCACCTCATCACAGGCCAGTCGATTGGCATTCTCAGGATGGACTTGTGACTCAGATCCACTTGGAGGAACGTGACTAAAATCCCCCCAGGTGGCCAGCGTGGGTTCTGTTTGTGCTCTGCCTTTCACGGAAGTTGCTGACAAATAGTCCTTCCAACCTCCTAGTGTGTACAGCGTGGGATGTGTCTAATATTCTCACTGGGGCTCCTGGCCACATGTCAGGAAACATACCCTTGAAACTGATATCCTCTGGGTCATGTTTTGAGGACCCGGGAGACATTTGCTTGGGAAACTATCCCGCTTTTTTTTTTTTTTTGCAATTTTTGTCAGATAATTTTTGTGTGTGTGGCATACAATTTTTATTTGCAAATGAAAGTGGAGCTGTTTTCAATGGCTCTCTTACTTCATAGATGGAATTCTTTTTGTGGTATCGATACGGTTATTGATGATCAGACACAGGCAGGGAACGATACAACACTGTACCCGTATAAACGTGCTAAACAAGATGCAGAGAGAAGGTTCGAAGCCAGCCCACTTACAACTGCACCTTTGTTTGGGGCTTTGTTCATGTGTAAATCGCTAACCCAGGTAACTGGGTTTGTGTAGTGGGAGTATGTTCTAGAACTCAAAGTGATAGGAGAGTGTGCTTACGCACTTTCACGCAAACTATATGCTAGACCATTCTTAAGATATGGGTAAAAAAATAACCACACCACCGGGATATTTATCAGTTAGGGGTATGGAAATGGAAATGAATGCTAATCGGTGCTTGTTGATTAAAACTTAGCAATAATTCCAGCAAAATAAGAAAAACCTACTGCATACATCACCGCAACAATGCTTTGCTAAGTGGCTAGTTTTTAACTGTAGCTTTTCTAACAATAACTGTCCATAAAGGGATAGAAAGTATTTTCAAGATTATATCTCTTGTCCCATTTTTAGGCAGAGAACCCCAACATTTCAGGATTGGAAAGGACCGGCAGGCCTCTTCTGCTATTCTTTTTCCTTATAAGATGGAGCGTTCTTACCTTGGAATTGAGCGTTGAACCCCTTGCGCCGATGGTTGCTGTCGGACGTGAAGTGCAGTCGTAACCAGTTCTTGCTGCTGATGACCGGAGAGGGGAGGTTCATGCCGGTCAGCCTGGGGAGAGAGGGAAGGGCAGAGGCCCCTGTGAACCGAGAGAGCACACGCCCGCGTCAGGCCCGCCTCACCGTCAGCCCGCAGCCTCCGCCCCCGATGCTTCACCCAGAGTCGTCTGTTCGCTGCATTTACGCCTTCGGGTGATTTTCTCTCTCCCCACCTACAGATACTGCGTTTATTCTCGATGGCATGAAGGCGTTCACAAATATCAGTGATCCATCAATGAGAAAATAGCATTTCATTTCTTTTTTCTTTTCATCGGAACCTCAATCATAATGAATTCTAGGAGGTAAGGAAACTGGCAAAGGATAAAATTCTGCCCTTCACGATTTAAACCCTGGGCGACTCTTTCACCGGACGTTTTCACACTTGATACACAGCAAGCCATGTGCCGAGTGCCACGCGCCACAGTTCACGACCAGCCCCCCCCCCCCCCGCGCCGTGACAAGGGGCAGAGTGTATGAGGTTGGCGATGAGAAATTACAGAGATTAAAAAAATGTTTTTAATCTTCACCTGAGGATATGTTTGTTGATTTTAGAGACAGGGATGGACATCGACGTGAGAGAGAAACCCCACTGATCAATTGCCTCAGTCGGATACAGAACCCACTAGCCAGGCACATGCTCTGACCGGGAATTGAACCTACAACCTTTTGAGTATGGGACAACGCTCCAACCAACTGCGCCATGCGGCCAGGGCAAGAACTACCAGACTGAAAACCAGATAAAGTTGCCTCGGAGTAAAAGAGCATCTTAAACACAATGAAACCTCTCCGACCTCAGACAGGCTCGATCTCTGGTCCAGCTGTTTAGAAATAGATCAGCCCACTGCACAGGGGGTCGCTCTGTTGTCAGAAAATAAAACCCGGTCATTCGTGTCCTGCTGGGGGACCCGCGTCAGCACCAAGGAGGCGGTGCACCCTCAGGCAGCGAAGGGAAGGGCCAGGAGGGGCGCCTTCATGCCGCCCCCTGGCCAGCGGTGTGACCGCCCGGGGCTGGAGGAGGCAGAACTCGCTCTGGCTGAGTCTCCCTGTGGCCGGGCGGTCTTCCCGGACCTCAGTTTTCCCGCCTGTAACCTGGACTTGAAAACGCTTCCCTGACAGCAGTTGCACGATTGTGCATGTAAATGTCCCTGAAGCATATTTCTAACGTCACGAGCATGTGGCCAGGCGTCATGCACCTAGTTGGCATTTCTGCTCACACATCTGTTTTCAAGGGCACGCTCATGAGTGCGGATGATGGGGAGGGTGCTGAGCAGGCGGCTGTGGCTGAGCCCTGGGGCGCCCTGTGTGGGCGGGGGGACAGGGAGAGCACGTTCCGGGCCCAGGACTGCGGGGGCCAGGACAGCGTTTCCCTCCCCCCCCCCACCTGAGGAGCAGCAGCATCAAACAGACGTGCGGCCGCCGAGCCCTCCAATGTCAGGCTTGGAAATGAGCAGTATCCATTTGAAGTTCAAAGCCAGACCTTGACTGTAACCAATTGCGACGGTGATAATACCCCTGCTGGGAATAACCTTGTGTAGGAGGAACTGGCTCCTCAGAGCTGCTGCTCGCTGGAGTTTACACGTGGTGCTGACCGGTTCCGAGAAGCATTTCCTCACGCCGGCGTTTTGTTAGAAAGCTCCCTGACCCCCTTTTGTCCTGGGGAGATGATGTTACAAATTCTGTTAGAAATGGGTCACATGCTTCTTTGCCTAATACTGACAATGGCCAAGAGAAGCAAATTCCCGATTCAGCAACCCGGTCTATGCAGCTCACCTACATTTTATTGAATGAAGTGTCTAGCGCTGAAATCCATGGTATGACTTCAGCTATAAGGGGCCAGAGAGAAATAGCCTGGGGGTCTTTGCCCCAGTCCACTCAGCTGCTCGGCCCCACCCTTCGCAAGCCCAGCCCCCGAATGGGCGTGGATGGGCTTTGAGAGCATTTTACTTATCTACATTGAAATTTGTAGTTTTTACTTTTTCTAGGTTACAGAGTATTTTCTTCTGTTTTTTTTTTTTGACCACTTACCGAGGTGAAGTTCACTCTTAGCTCACGGGCCAGGCTGGCTGACCCTGCTGCGGCCTATGTGAGGCAGTTTGTGAGGAAGCTGGTCAGGAAGGCACTGACGGACCTGGAGCGAACTGTTGTAACTAGAGTTTCACAAAGTACATCACCCCCGTGCAGCCGGCAGGTCCTTCACTGCAAACTGGCCTGAAGACAGCTGACTAAGCAGGAACCAGCGGGCGGCCTTGGGGATTTACTGAGCACACCGGCGGCGCAGATAAGACTCAGATGTGAAGAGTTAGCAGGGCCCCCGGGGAGCTCTGCCTCCCTCGGATTCCTGACCCCAGAGCCTGTGACTGCATGAGCTCGGAAGGCCACAGGCTGCTCCGTGGGTGGGACGAAGTCACAGATCTTGAGATGGAGAGATTCCCCTGGCTCATCCGGCAGTCCAATGCAATCAGAAAGATCTTTCAAGGTGGAAGACAGGGGTGGAAGCAGAGAGGCGGGGAGCACAAGGAACCCAGGGAAGGAGGTCCGCGTGGTTCACTGAGAAGAACTCCGCTTGAGGCTGCTGACCTTGACCGTGGAGGAAGGGCCATGAGCCCAGGAACGCAGGGGTTTCTGGGAAAGGCCATGGAATGGGTTCTCGCTAGAGCCCCTCAGCAAGACCCCTGCTGACACGTCGGTCTTATGCCACCCAAACCCAGGATGGTGTACAACCCGTGGAACTGCAAGACAGCCTCTGTACGCTGGATTGCGCCATCGGGTCTGCACCCACCACTGCAGCAACAATGGAAAACGAGACAGCCTCTCAACACGTGAAGCCACGTTTCATTCTGAAGAGCCCAGAGGGGGGGTGTAAGACACACCGTCCGTCTGCACTGACCGGCACTCCTGGAGACGCCCGGCAGTTGAGGCCGAGTCTGTAATCGTCAAGGGCTGAACATCACCCCTTGCTGGAGTGAGGCCTCCCGAAGTCCTCTGTGGCCTGTGGCCATTGCGCGTGAAGTCTGCTGCAGTGGGTTTCTAGAACAGCTGTTATGAACCACAGGCCCCCGCTATGGGGCTGGCGTGGAGGAGGGGTGGGGGACCCAAGCCTCAGACCCAGGACAGAGAGCTTTGAAGAGGGAAGAGCAACTGGAGGAGCCACAAAATCTGTGCCCGCCATTCACCGCACAGTGACGTTCCCAGTCCTGGATGTTGAGAAGCAAAGGGCAGAGCGTGGGGAGATCAGGTGACTCCAAGATGCTCGGATTCACACAACGGGAGACGGCAAAAGGACTCCTCCAGGGGAGAGGCAGGGACGCGTCCCCCTGTGGGGACGGGAGACACCTGTCCTTTCTGGAGCCGCTCAAAGTAGGTCAGGAAGCCCATGGAGCCAGACAGCGAGGCCGCTGGGCAGTCCCCACGGAGGGACCGGAGGGAGTGGGCGGACCTTGCTTTTTTTCTGTCTACACCAGAGGAAGCCAGTTAATCCATTGGCAAATTCATTTCCTGTAAAGGATTCAATAAGGCTTGGCTTCTGCCAACAGTGAGAGTGGATGCAGGACTCATGGGATACTTGACTTTGAAGTTGTGATGACCTTCTGTGAGCCAAAATAGAACAGGCCAGTCTGTTCCACTTTCTCCAAATAGCTTCCCCGTAAATGCTAGGATTCCGTTTATACCGTATTCCTGACGCCGTTCCTCACTTGACCCCTCTCGGCCCCCCTTTGTCACGTGTAATATCGGGGGTGAGCCCCTCGTTCTTAAACGTTACAGCACATTTACTTATGTGACTGGAAAAATGTAGCACCAACGTACAAAGACACTTTTCTAAAACGCATTGCAGGGCTCTGCTTGGACGTGAAGCCACATTTCTTAGGTCTGTGGAACATCGTCATCAATCGGGGGTGTTCCTCGTAATCAAACCACTTCAGCTGTGATGACAAAGAGGCCGGAAGCATGAGTACCCCCAACACAGCTGCACCGCGCCCCCTCCCGGGCGGGGGTCTAAGGACCGGAATCATGCTATGATTGCTCGTCATCTTGGGGACAGAGGCGTGTGGAAGCTGCGTTGTTTTTCCTCCCAACATGTCACCAACGTGATGCCGAGTGGCTTTGTCAACGTGAAACTGGCTGCTCTGCTCGGACGACCCGCTGCCGGAAGGTCCTGTTCTGGTGGGCAGTCGGTCACTTCCCTGGGGAAAGCCCCTGTCCGGCGAAGGCACGCGGAGTTCCCGACACCGCGGTGCCCCGCCTCATCACGGACACTGCAGAAAGGGACACGGGAGGGAGGCCGGCCTTCCCCTGGGAAGGACGTGGGCAGCAATGGGGTTTGGTGTGTGCGTGCGTGTGCACACAGATACACATATACGAACATGGGCACAGGGGTGTATCCACACATACGACAGTTACATATTTATACGCAAATACTTGTAAAGTGTATTGTAAAAGCCCCACCCACATATATACCCTCTGGGAAAACAGCAGCACACAGACAAAATTAAACACCCGCAGCCTATGTGAAAGCACATGCTCGTTCTGCTCATGCTCTTATCCAAGAGAATACTTCCCACAAGACACTTCCTTCCGGGGGCGAATCTCAAGTACATGACACAGGTGTCACCTACCGCCACCAGGCTGTGTGTGCATCAGCCCCGGAACTCACTCACCTGACGCCCAGAAGCGTGTCCCATTTGCAGACGTGCACACACGTACACCACATTTTCTCTGCCCAGGGAGGGCCTGCGCGGTCCCTCCCGCCTCTCCAGAACCAGTCGCCTATGGGTGCGGGGGCAGGACAGCAGACGCGCAGTGGCCTCCGGTACCTGCTCAGGTCACACCCGGAGAACAGAGCGGCTTAGATGCCGGCGATGGCGCGTGGTTGGAATCAACATGGACAAGTGGAGATGAGGGAAGTAATTAATGATGTAACTTCTCCTCGTTAAGTAGCACAGGGTTAAACTGACTACAAAACCATGAGTACTTATGTATGTATTTCCTCTTCCCGTCTGTTAATGAACTTCACTA